TATAAGTTTTTATTAAAAAAATTAAACTTTTTAATAAAAATACAGGCAAATTTGCCTGTGTTACAATTTAAGGGATAGCATAATCAAAAATTTGACTTTACATCTGAGTATTGTTTTTAATATATAATGCTAACCTTTGCTTTAAATGCTTTATTCAAGGATATATTTAATGGTTATAGACGTGAGGTTAGTCCAGATGGAATTAAAGCTATATCTGTATTTTACTCACAAAGATGATGCTTTATAGAATTAGTTCTATATGCAGTAAATATATCCAAAACAAAAAGCAAACATGGATTAGAACCCAAGTTGGCCCACCAATGCCATATATTCTCCACCTACTAAATCATTTTATCCTTATCTATCCAGCCACTTGGATTTGCATGAACATGTGCACCATCAGAAAACTTCTCTTGTGGTACATTAACTAACTTAAAAATAATAAAAGGGGAAAGTTTAGTACTATCTGCAAGACATGCAAGAGTTATAGTAAAATTTGTGCATTCGTGATCTGTTGTAAGAATTGAGATAGTTTGTGTTTCACATTCTTTAACAATACTTTGACTTGGTATATTAAATGCTATAGGAGTTTTATTCATGTTGCCAATTAAATTTAAGGGGTAGTTATGTTCACTTCGATAATAAAGAATAAATGATAAAAAATTTTACTGTTGTTCTTGATAATCCTCTGGTAACTTTTGTGCTGTTGTAATACATCTGTGGTGCACCAATGTATGATGAGACATAAATCCATCCACCTACTTATGCAAAAATTGATATTCATGAATATTAGAATACAAAGTACAATATTTTTGTTTGGCAGCCAAACTGTGGGCTTTAGCACTGATTATATATCTAGTAACTGTTTTCAGCTACCTTCGTAACTCACAAAACTACTCCAAAAGTTCTTCTTCAAGTTGTAGATACCTTGGTCATGCACTAGTATTAAGTTGTTAAATATATGGAGCTGTATGCATTAATTTCTCTTTTTTATTTTTCCAGTCTCAAACTTGTTTTGGCTTAATTTTAAATTTATTTGCTGTTGCATGAATACTGTGCCCACCTTCTTGATAAAATACAACTATCAATTTTTTATGAACATTCCACTGTCTGCGCTTTTTTTGCGTACTTGTTGCTCGTCGTGTATTAAAATTTCCTTTTGGCATTTTTAGACAAAATTTTTTTTTTTAAAATTAAAATTTTCGTATTTAAGATCACGAAGTAGATGTCGGGGTATAAATGCTTTAACCATCATACAAATTATTCAGTGAGAAACATTATAGGAGGCAAATTTATTCTACTGCTAAATTCTCATTACGATCCTAAACCTTCAATAAAAATATCTTTGATTCTAATACAATATTCAATCACAAGTATTTTTTCACTATATATAGCTTTTTAAAGCAATTGTTCAAAAGAATCTTTCTATATCCTTTTTTTTTTTTTTTTTTTTAATTATTTGATTTAATTTTCTGTAACTTATTTAATTCTTTCATTATGCAACAGGTTCTTCTTCTCAATATAACTACATTATTTGACTATTTTTTTTTTTTTTAATTGATAAATGTGTTGTTTTAATAGCCTAATAATTCAAGTTTTATTACTAAGTTTCTTGAAGGTTTTATTAGTATATTAAACTAATTAAAAAAATATATATTCAATATATCTATAAAAAAGTTTGTTGGGTTTATTATAAAGATTCATTCAACAATTCATAGAGCATACAGTATTGACTATTTTTGTAATATTCCTGTTATTTGTATAATACGTATGATTATCCTTACACAAGACCTCTATATATAATATTCCAGGGATAGTAAATGACTTGAAATAACCAAAATAACCCAAATGACTAGTGACTGGTCATTGGGTTATTTCACATTCAAATGACTCATAGAAGGTCATTTAACATTTGTTAACTGATAATCTAATGCCTTTTAGCCAATCAAAATTGATTATCAGAAAAAAAGTTGGTTTTATAGTAATCGCAGAAGTCAAAATTTTACTATATTAATTGATATTTATGTCTTAAGTAAAGTTGTTTTGAAAATAATATAATAAAAAGTTATCTGAATTATACAAAAATTTCAAGATACAGTATATGCAATTTGTTTTCTGAACAACTTTACTTAAGATGTAAATATCAATCAACTTGTAAAGTTTTGACTTTTTTATGTAGTTACTATTATAGTTTAGTGAAATCATAGTATTTGGTAACTTTTATATTAGCTATCTGACCAATAAAATTACTTCATATGCAAATGACCCAAATAACCAATGACCAAATGATCTGGGTCATTTAGCCAAATGACTAGGTCATTTACCATCCCTGCAATATCCCCTGCATATTGTATTCCCCTATAAATAGTACTTGGCTCTTCACACAGTACTCCTGGGTACTATTTAATTTTAAAAATTGAGTTTTTAAAAAAGACCCTGGGTACTTTATGCAGTGGCTAACGATAAATTCTTTAATATTAGAATAAAAGTAAAAAATAAAAAATTGAGATTAAACAATTTTATAATAAAATTTAATTAGAAATTTTTTTTATTAAAGCTTAAAAAATAATTTTTTAGATAAATTTTAAAATATAATCAATTTTTTAAAAAGTTCATTTTTATTATACAAAGCTGATTTATATATTATATTTAATCTTAAATTTTAGGTTTTAATTTATAGTATTATAGTACTGTAGTGCTAGAGTATTTTAACCAATTAAGATTTAAAATTAATATAATATGTAAATTAGATTTGTATAATAAAAATAAAGAATTTTTTAAAAAATTAATTATATTAAAATTTTATTTATTTTTTAAGCTTTAATAAAAAAAATTCTTTATTAAATTTTATTATAAAATTGCTCAACTTTAAAAATTTTCAACTAACTAATCGATTATGATTTTTTGCCTAATTCATAACACTACTTTGAACTTGAAACTTGTGCGTAGACATAACTTTTTGGCATAGAGGAGGTGGAAGAAGAGGTGATGGAGCCTGTGATATTTGAAATATCATAAAGTTGCACACCACCTGGTAAACGAAATGCTGCAATTTTACCTTTGCGATACCAGCAATGAAGTGTACATGAGGAAACACCAAGAGTGAAAGAAGCCTAGATGCAGTAAGGAACATTAAATGAAAATTGATTCGTGAGAAATTTAAAGATCAAAATGAAAATTTAACGATTTTAAAAATATGTTAATCACTTTTATATGGGGGTTCGCTAAAGCCTTGTATCTACGTGACTTTTTCTATACAGATCAGCCAATCAAGATTATGAACTTTTGTTTACACAGATCATCCCGAAGAAGTCAAAAAAATCAAAAAATGCAAAAATACAAAAAATAGCAGTCTAAACCTGCCTTGGTATACTAATAAAAAATGCTGAGAAGGCAATTTTATCTATAGAACTACCCTAACCTTAATCTTAAACTAATCCTAACCCTAATTATAATTAAGAACTTC